CAGGAAATTATTCCAAGTCCTAATTAGTCAGTGATCATTTGCAAATTTTACTAAAATTTCTGAAGAAAATCCAGGGTAACCCCTTGTGCAGATCACTTTGCAAAACAGTGAGATGCATCCAGTCTAACACAAGACGTGCAGCATGCAGGGTTGCTGTGAGGACCGTACCATCCACCCTGCGTAGAAGAGACTCAGATATAGGGGTTAACTGTTAAGAGGCCAACCTATCTCTGTCTCTGCCAATTTCTCTGTCTCTGGGTTTTCTTGTAATTAAGCCTCACTACTGAGAGACACATTCTCACTGTTGGCAACGGTAAATTGGGCTTGTCTTCTAATAGGCTAAAATGAGGGGCAATTGACAGTTTGCACTAAACTTTGGTGAAACTAATTCAATGTAATGCATGTATGCTTCCTTTAGCTGACTGGTGGCTCAGCAGATGGTTCTTCAGTTGGAAAAATATTTTCAAAGAGTTACTCAAGAATGATTCATGACAAGTTCATAAAACACAGGTCTGTAAGTACGGCTCTATAAAGAAATACTTTGAGGCAAAAAAGAAAGATTTCCTAACCTACTTTAGTTTTATACTCAGATTCTTCAATCGGATGACAATGTGGTTTCTTATTTATGTGAAGATGTGATATCACCTAAAAAAAAAACACCCAAAGCTATTAGCAGAGGAATAAAGATGATAACTTCTGTTTGCTATCTTTAAAAAAAAAAGTGGTGAGAAAAACAAAGTGAAAAAAGCTTAGTGGTGATACCTTAAAATTGGGGCTTAGGTTAAATATTTATTATTTTCTTTAATGTGACAAAAAACATCTTAAGGAAACACATGACTAACAGATAGTGGCAATAACTCATCCAAACTTGGTTATTAACTAAGCTACTAAGACTTTTAAAAGCAATTCATTAATGCTCCGAAAAGGATTACTAATATGAATCTTAGGATGTAGGAATTATGGGTGCAAGAGTACAAAAAAAAACAGGCGTTGCCTGGGGTTCGTATCTGTTCAGTTTTGCCTAACTCTTCCTTAAGCCTGTGGTCAAAGTTCAGAGACTCGGGCACGTATTTGTACAACAGTGCTCAGCCTTGTAACTTTACTCACTGCTCCCGAAGGTGAAGACACGGGAAATGCCCAGCACCAGACGGCTGGATAGTCAAAATGTGGTACATACGTCTCTTTATGTGGGCATGAAACTGTGACAAATACTATGACACGGATAAGCCCTGTAAAGTGAAATAATCCAGACACAAAAACGAAATGCTGTGCTTTCTGAAGTGACTTATCTCTTGTGGTGGTAGCTGTTAGATGCTGTCGAGTCTATTCCAACTGAAGGTGACCCTTTGTACAAGAGAATACATCATTCCTCGCTTGGCACTACCCTCACAATCATTACGTTCCAGCCCATCATTGCAGCCACTGTGTCAATCCATCTCCTTGACCCTCTTCCTCTTTACATTGCCCTTTGCTTTACCAAGCAGGAGGCCTTTTCCAGAGCCTGGTCTCCCCTGACAACATGTCCAAAGTATGAGAGACAGAGTATCGCCATTCTTGCTTCTAAGGAGTATTCTGGCTGTACTTCTTCCAAGATAGATTTATTTATTCTTCTGGAAATCCATGGTGCTTTCAAAATTCTTCACCAACACTGTATATCAAAGGACTCAATTCCTCT